CTTACAGTCTAGCACTGCAAGTGAGATGTCCTGCAAGACCGGTGGATCCATCATCCATCTCTAAAAGCTCACAGCCCATAAACATTCCATAAAGTGCTGATGGTGTTTTTACACATTCAACCCAAAGTTGCTTTGGATACCAAAAAAAAAAAACCAAAACGTTTGCCTGCCCATGAATCACTTTTATTTTCGTGTTCGCTCTTGCACACCAATGAGATCATGTACTGTAAAGTTGGCCTGCATGCTTTGTATAGTCTTAGTGGATAGTGGATGTCAGTGCGGGCCTCCCCTGATAGCAGATAAAACATAAGTGTGGGGGCCAAAAACGTGCTGATTGAGGTGGGCGAGCTGCTGTGTGACACAACACTCTGTTCCTGTGGTTCAAACAGGCTGCTGAGGTTTCAGAGCTACTCCATTTGGATAAACATTACACGCAATACCCTTTGATTGAAATTACCCTCGATAAAAAAATAGGTACACGCTGTTCTTTGGGTGACTAGAGTTAGAAAAAACAATCTGGGACAAGTCAAAATCATAACAAAGTGGAAATGATTTATGTAAGTAAAACAACCCCCCCCACACTTCTGAGTCACACAATTTTATCAGAGCTCTTTCCGAAAAATGAAATCCCTCTTCTTTGTTGTGCTGATAATATCATCAACTCACAACATCACATCCGACTCGTTAACGTCCCCGTTCACTGTGAACAGACTTTTGATCGGTTCGATTGATTAGTACTTCTCTGCAGAAAAGCGTCATCTGAGTGAGAACCAAACACTTGCAATTCAACTCACACTACGGCAATTAATCTGCCCAACGGACATCACGCACGAGTCATCCACTGACTGAAGCTGATCACGACGAGGGAAGAGAAGCGACAAAACAAAAATCCTTGCTAAAGGAAAGGGATTCGATCCAAAAGGAAAAAGGAGCAGCAGGTGCGAAGCAGCTTAGGGTGCTCAAACTTCTCCTGGCCTCAGTACAGACGTTCCCCTGCTCTCCTGCGGTCAGAGAACCACTTGAGGCTATTGAACAAAGCCGAGCTGGCAGCTCGCTTCCCCCGCCGACTGGCCGGCAACAAGAACCATCGCTCAGTTGCACTCCGCCCTTTTCTTGCAAGCTGTCCCTCGGAGCCCCGATGAAGTAACACGGACCAAAAAAAAAGAGCCTTTATTGCCAAATCAAATGTTTTTATATCATTTCAGCCGCTTAGTTTGTGAATCGGACGTTGGGAGCAGCGGGTCTTACGTAATCGTGATTAAGGAAGTCATAAACTTGAGAAGAAAAAGAGAAGAGCAAAAGCAAAACACGTTCTGTGAGAAATTCTTTAAATCATAACAGCTTTTATGAACACGTTAGATTCAATGTTTATTTTTACTGAGGCCATAAATAATCAAGGTGCATGTGTTGAATATGATATAGCAAATATTTAGAAAAGAGATTTAAATCCACAAGGCGTAATACAAATCACTTTTAGGAATCTGGCAACACGTGTCCTCTTCAGCATATGGACGTTGGACACCGAAGAAATCAACTGAGAATGTTTTCTACTTTATATTTGTCACGTGTTTTTTTTTTGCATTTACAGCGTGAATGAAGTTGCGTCTATTAAATGTGAGTCAAAGGGTTTGAGGCTGCACGGATACGTCTTTACCCACTATCCACGGCCTCTGGATGAACCCTTCCAGAAACTGGTGAAAGGACACAAAAGCAAGTTGGCCCTCAATTAGAATAAAGCTGCATGACAATGCAGAATTAATCAAAACCTGGGCACAAAGCCATGGGCGGACTCAATAAAAATGACTGCAACTTTATATGTAAATAAGGAAACATAAAAGAGCTGGGATCCAAAATGGATCGATGTCTCAACAATAATAAGACTAACGTGAGCACAAAGAGTCCCTGGAGCCAGAGGCGAGTCTGGATGAGTCATCTGACCCGGGATTGAGCCTCACCCGCTGCAGCGCCCGCCAACGTGTGACTCGCACGCAGCCCGCTCCCTCTCCGAAAGAGATCCCCGAGCGTCTGGAGCGCCGACCCGCATCAGGGAGAGCAACCATTAAAAGAAGAAAAAGCCTGAGGGTAAGAAAAAGGGTGAGATTCAGACAGGACAGATCCAACTACCGTTCCCACATTTGCTGGACGACTCTCGCGAAGAACGACATCGACGACACGCGACGTTCCAGAGGATTGAAACAACCATTTTTTTTCCGATTACAGCAGTGAGCTGTTTTCTTGTGTCCTTTTAGACACAAGACAACCAAAGGCGATGAGGCGTTTTTAAGTCATTCATCATAAAACTTTAGATGGACACCTTGATCATCGTTTTAAATAAACAGATGTCTTTGCGACTTCCCCTGTAAAAGAGAAGGCCAATAAACTGCCACAGCAAACAGCTGTGAGCTATTCGACTAGAAACAACACGGCACTTTTAATACAGCCGTCTCCTTCAACACATCACAAGTCCTGCCAAACCCGAGAGCCTCAACCGTCCACACAACGGCGATGGATGTCTTCTGGTTTGTGATGTTGGTGAGGATGGTCGGATTGTTTTCCTTCTGCTACTTGAGGTTTTAAACAACTCACAAAAGGATTTAGGATGTGTTCAGATCAAACTCAAATGCAGAGTCTTTCTTGTGCTGTACAAATAAATAAGATGGCAACGGGCAGTGAAAGCGATTTAATGTCGGCTGTTTCATTGACGTCTATTCTAAGAAGAAAGAGAGGAAATGATGCTATTAGGCATATTTCATAAGCGAGGGTTGAAGAGACAGAATTGCTAGTTGCCTTCCTGTGGGCGACTGTGGGTGAGTGGGGAGCACGGTTGTCCTCCAATCAGAGGGTTGTCGGTTCGATCCCAGGTTCTGCTAACCCGCATGGGCAAGACACTTAACCCAATGTTGCTCCTGTGGCTGCAACTACAATGTGTGAATGTTAGTTACTGATGATGGTTCTCCTCTCATCTGGGTGTGAATGGGTGTGAATGGGTGAATGATGTCATTTAGTGTTAAAGCGCTTTAAGTGGTCAGAAGACTAGAAAACCGCTATACAAGTAGGGTCCATTTACCATTACTTACTGAGCGGCAGATGGAGGGATTTTAATTCCAGTCGAAGTGCTGAACTGAAAAAAAAAATGGATGCATAATATATGAATAGAGGTTAGTTAAAGTTAAAAGTGCAAGACGGTACATGAATCCACAATTCCTGCCACTGCTACAAATGGGCACGTCAATACCTTTTGCAATTGTAAAATACAACTTCCACGCAGATATTAAAAGAGATTATTTAAATATATACACAACATTTTTGTAAATTGGGTCCAATTTCCTGATGTCGTTTTTACACATGCTATTAAGTATAACGCTTGCTGTCATGTTAGTTTTCAATCACTAGGCATTATGTAGGGATCTGAATACATGCTTTTTTATCTTTTCTTTTTGGTGTTGTTTCTTGTTAAACATCATCCGTTTCTATGGGAGTTATCAAAATACAGACTGATTGGTCCACCCACCGTTCCAGTGGTGCAGAGCAGCTCAAGGGTTTCAATCGGCTCTTCTAACATTGACGTGTCAGACTTGATCTGTTTGTCTTGGCTTTTGCTGATCATCCAGTGCTACACATTTTAACAAAACAAACTGGGGACACTTGTGTGGAGCAGAACTTCCACCGTGGCCTTCAAATAACAGCAGAGAGAGAGAGAAACACTTTCATGACGATGACTCACTTGAAAAAAAAAAAAAGAAAAGGGAAAAGCTAAAGAACAGCGGGGTTGGGTTTCATTAGCTTTGTGAGAACGGGCTCAGCGCTAAAACACAGAAAGCAAAACACGGAGTGTTGGTTTTCTCTTAAGATCCTAGTCAGAGAAATACACATTTATTATACATATGAGCTTTTTCCTTTGAAGCAGGGAACGATGCCAACTTTCTATGCCTTCAAAGCATACCTCTCCTCTGTGAATTTATTTGTGCTGTACGTTGGGATAAATCCACGTCTGTTAAGTTGTAAATTAAGACCTGGGTCAGTCTGCTGACCATTGACGGTGGTCCGGATCTCCCTGTAGGTTCAGTGATGTCTGCTGTTATTCCTGGGTGGCCCTCGCAGTTGCTTTCAATGGTGCCGGTGTATAAAGCCTGTACAGTAAACACGGCCTAAGAAGATATCGGAGGCTTCATGCTTCAGACTCCCGAGAGACGGTATCGGACGTTATGATATTTGATCACTGTTGACTCTGAACACGACATATGTTGTATTATATATCAGCCGCATGAAATTAAATCTTCCGCTTTGGACTAATCGCTAAGAAGTCATGTGGCTATGATATGATGATAAGTTGTGACATATTGAGTATTCAACGCTACACAGAGGGAGGGGAGGGGGGCTCATGCCTCAATATTTGGCTGAGGACACCTGTGAACAGATGGCCATCATACTCCCAACTCCAACAGAGTGAAAACAGAATATGAAAACGTGCAAAGGCATCCGTGTGCCTTTTCCTCGCAGGGAAATATTGTGATATAAAAGAAGAGATCAAGGCGCCACTGTGACGCCACGTCATTGAAATGCGAGTAGTTTCGCTGACTACCCGAGAGACGTACTGAAATGTTGGGTTTGCTCCGGGGGGGGTGCAGCAATGGAGGGATCAGGGTGTGTCGGCCTGCAGGGTGTGTCCCGCGTCTCTTAAAGCCGACGCCGCCGGCGTGAAATTCACAACCACAGTTTAACTAACACGCGCCCAGGCAGACACACAGATGCAACGTCGTCACAAGCCAGGGGCCGACGTCTGTGTCTCCGCGGTGACTTGTCTGAGAGACGAAGGCAGATGGGTTGTGTGTGTCTGTGTACCTGGGGGAACAGAGAACGTGTTGGGACATCCGCACCGTGACTCCAGTGTGTGTGTTTTTATTAATGAGATAGGACGACGGTTAAAATGCTGCTTTACAAGATTTGCATGTCAAAGTTCACAACGCTGCGCCTGCAGAAGGAAGCACAGAAGCGTAGGGTCAGAATAATGGGAACATTATTTTAATTTATACAACAGCATTCCTTGTGTTCTTTGCACAACTTGCGTATTTGCTACTGGAAAAAGGCTATATCTTTTAACAATGCATATTGTTAGATGTTTCCTTACGAGGGGTGTGCTGCCTTCACAACATGAAAATGCACCAGGGTTCAAAAAAACAATTCTCAACAAAAAAATGCATCCGTTTCTGGATTCCACATGGAAGTGCAACAGCATGCTATAAAGCAAAACAATAAATATTCCACACTCTAGAGTAATATTGTGACATTGTATCATACAGTTACATTAGAATGTCTATGAAATATCAGTGAAAAAGGTATATAATCTTTTTTTTTTTAAGCCATTGATTTATAAAAATAATTTTCTCTGTACACATATTCAAAATGTCCAGCGGTTTGCATAATGGTTTGATGGATCAATGTCTCTGGTCTTCGTCACTATAGGCCTGTGAAAAAAAAGGAAAAAAACAAAAAACATCAGTCTCCTAGAGACAAAAATCAGACATATTTAACTTTGATACAGACATTTAATATCTGAACATGTCATAGACAAACAGGAGCTGGAAAATGAGGCATGGTGCTGCCCGCTGCAGGTTCCAATGACCATATTTCACAATAAACTCTGGGAGAGCAGGGATCGGGGGGGCAGGGGGGGGCGTTTAAGCAGCCAGCTTTGAGTTTGGTTGCCGTGGCGATGCTTTCTGATAGCCAAGCAGCAGCAGTCGGCTCTCAGATCTCCCGCCAGACTGGCACGCTCGCACTGGGAACTGTGGGCACCTCCCGAGCCACAAGAAGGAGAACCGCAGACAACCTCAAACTAGACAGACTTTCTCCCTCTCCTCCTCCTCCTCCTCCCCGATGTTGAGGCTGAGAGTCGACGCCGTCTGCTACGTGTAAACTCGGAGCCCAAGTGACTTAATGGAACTGGGCAACAGCCTTCCCTCCTGTCTGCACACTCCGTCGGCTTCCACCAATCGCATCGCTGAGCCGCTGTGCCCTCCATTTAGCCCGCGACTGTAATTGAACGGACCATAAATGAAGGTGGAGTAAGACCGGCCATTGGTGGTTACGTAGTGACTCTGCCGATGAGGTCATTGACAGACTTTGAGGCTCTCTATACTTAAGGCTGCTGCTTGCAAAAGCAAAATGCTTCTGTGACTCAAATGATACAGCACATTTTGAGTTTTGAGTCTGATTCTCTGGGATTCGGGCTGTGAAGCTTCCCGACCGTTCAAATTCTCACCTGAAAACACAGATCTTTTATTTGCATCGCGTGTACCACCTGTGAAAAAACGGAGACAGAACATGTGTCATGCAAAGTGAAGGTAGCATGAGGACCGTGGAACAATTCCATATTCGGGGACATAAGTTTCTTACCCGGCCCGCTAAGAGTTATATGACATATGAATGCTGTGAAAATCGTATAGTTACTTTAAACACCAACTAACTCAGTTGCACAGAGTTTAATTTTCTAATTCTGAGAATTCCCACAGTGTTCTTTTAGTACGGCGACTGGTGTTTATGCTGAAATGGTCCACATCTACACCAGCTCCAACATCACTCATGCTTCTGCAATGAGTGATTGTGATTATCGGTAGATTAATAAAGACAAACTATCTTTAAACACTGTAAATATTGAATGTTTTAAGCAATCTGACTTGCTTACCCACAGCTGTAAAAGGACAATGTGGGAAGAAGGACACACTTCTTTCATTCCCATTGTGGTACGTGTGGTTGAAGTTTATAGAATAATGGGACATAATAATAATGGATTTCTCCCCCCGTTATTCATCTCTTACATACCATTGGTCTGGGCACGTCTGCTGTGACAGTAAGAAGTCGCTGTGCTAATGAATTTAGCCGTATATTATGCAGTACAGGTACAAAGACCAAACCACTTCATGGACAAACACTCCTGGCATCTTTTTCACAGGTCTGCCAGAAGAAAGAAAGTAGTAGAAAGTAATATGGATGATGAATAATGGTCCCTGAAAACAAGTTCAATATCTCACCTGGCGCAATACAACCACTCGCATGTTTAATACACACACACACACACACACACACACACACACACACACACACTAATACCAAGCAGATTTCAGCCAGCAGTGGTCTGGGGCCCCTCTCTTGCCACGTCTTGTGGCTGTTGTGTCTCTTTAGTCTCTCTCCCTCGCCGTGTCTAAGCTGCCTCCAATTCAACGCGTGGCTCAACGGGCCATTACCAATGCCGAGGATTAGAAAAGGCCCCCGGGGGCCATTTGGAACATTTATCCGTTTATTTTGCAAGATACACATTTGGCAAAAATAAAAAATAAACAACCCGAGGAGGTTGTTTTTCAGAAGGACAGACATTTGCCTGCCTCATCTTTTGTTCGTTGTTTAGTCGTTTTGAGTAGCTGGTGTTGGTTTTAACTGACAAAAAAGAAGAACGTTTCATTGACAGTATAATCTTTAGACCTGTTCATTAATCAACTTCCTCGCTGCCCTTTTTGACTCAGTAGTGGACGGACATCTACAATACAAAATGTCTTCCGTATATTGGTTGAACTAAAGAATAACCACATTTTGATAGCGGCTCATTCTCTCCCACAACTTTGTCTTAAAACTACCTGATTGGTGGAAATATGTAATGTTTACAAGTTCTTTTTATATAGTCCAACTAAAGTACAAAAAGGGGATCAAAGAACTTTCCTCATATGTTAACCAAAGTTGAGAGAGCATAAATTTGACATTTTTGTTAGTGGACCTCAGTGAATTGAGACCTACAAGCCTCTGACAATGGGACCATACAGCCACATACATTCATGTGATTTATGCGAGAAAGGTCTGATCAAATTTGATCCTTTTCAAAGCCGGAGTCTGTTCCAGCCAGACCACTAGTACGACTGGATTTACGACTTTAAAGAACCGTTCATGTCTATCAACTGGATCTCGATAGAGATATATCTCTTATTTGATGCCAGGAAAGGAAATGTTATATGACAACTTTTCCCTTTTTCACCCACCAGTGAGATATGAAAAAACTCCATTTGTCGACCCTTTTGCTCCATCAACATTTTTTACAAGCAATACTCGCCCATTAATCTTTTTCGTTTTAATAGATCCAGAGCGAGTTTAATGGATTAGCCGCTCGACTGTGAGAAACTACCAGCAGACTCTCTGGGAAAAAGGGAAGCTGAATGAGGAGGTGATGAACAAATCAAATGTAGTGGTTAAAGTGGAGACAAAGGCGGCAGAGGTAAGTAATACGGGAGGGTCTCTCACTCTTATCCTGTTCAGGAGGCTCCAGGATGTCACTCTCCGTGTCACTGGGAACATGCCAGGGCTGTCGGATGGCCTGCAACTGCTGGTAAAACTCATCCTGATATGGAAAAATAGAGCAAAACCAAAACAATGTAAGACTCGGTTAACTACCGAGTCCTAGGCCAAAACGTTAACGTTACAAATAAAATACTTCACTTTGCTAAAGCGATGGAACTACAATCCTTTAAATGACTACGTAAATAGTCAGGAAAGACAATATCACAGAGACAAGCAGTAACTAAAGAGGTTTAGGATTCTTTGACCCTCTCGTAGTCGTCCTACACGGGACCAGGTGGCTTCAATAAGAGCAAACTGGGTGCACGAGTGTTTTTGATAATCTCACAAGGTGTCAACTAGCATAACTGTCAAAGAGGCACTGGAGAATTCCTGCCCACCGTTAATAAAGCCTTCAAAAGGTCTTGTATTTGTAAGCACCACTGTTGAGTTAATTATGAAAGGAATATGAGAAATAAATTCCATTGAAAGTTCTCCTTTATGCCCATTTTTCCACAATGAAATGACACCCTACTGTATGGACCTCCACGACTCTCCATCAAGCCACACATGAAGCGTGTGTCTATGCACATGTGTGATATTGTGAGTCCTGGTGCACTCGATCACGATGACGCCTCTCATGTTGTGTAGCAGCTTTACTTGGACGTTGGGCCCATTTAACACTCAGCAAAGACGAGTTCACTCCAAGAAGTTACAATAAAGTTGAGAGTGATTTTCAATTCCTTGACCCAAAGTTTATGACAATCTTACTCCATGATTTATGCACTGTGTGTGCACTTAAGTGGGAAATAGATCCAACACAACATGTAGAACTTGATGCCGCACTACGGGGACGGAAGATTCGATGGTTAAAGGAACCGGTATTGAGGTTTTGGGAAATTCCCTTTTGCACTTTCCGGTCCAACGGTAAATGAGACGATCAATACCACTCTACATTTCTGTCAATTTAATATGGAGCAACAGCCAGTAGTCAGTCATCTTAGCTTAGCATACGGCCTAATGATGGGAAAACCGCCAGCTTAGCTTTGTCCAAACAGGCAACGCCTGGTTATGCATGTATGACCTCTACGAAGTGAGCAACCGAGGCCTTTTTAACGACAAGCGATCCCATCTGGGCCTTACCTCAGACAGGTAGGCCCGTAGGCTGGCACCGAGGCTGTCCGTGGTGCTCAGTCCCGGAGGGGTGAGCAGCGGCCGAGGACGCGCTGGCTGACACGTCGGCGTCACGGGGCGGCTCCGCGACCTCCTGAAGGTCACCTCCTTATGAGGCCCGGGGCTGAAGCTGGAGCGTGTCAGTAAACTATTCGGGGTCAAGGGCCGGCTGGGCGTCCTCGGGGTTTGAGTCCTGCTGCCGGGGTTGCTGGGAGAATGAGTCCGACCCACGACCACGGAGGTGGGCTTGGGGCTGAGCAGAGGGAGGCCAAAACCGCAGGGTTTGCCGGAGAGGCTGGCGGCCGGAGACCGGGGCCCGGAGAGCAGGCCGGTGAGGTTGAGTGTGTCGGGGAGGGTTCTGTGGCGCAGAGGGGTGTGGATCAGGCTACCGTGCGGATTGTTGGCGCTCCGAGTGGTCATCTTCCCTACTTCTGCCAGCTTGGCCAGGTCCTTCTCAACCTCTGTAGGGGGAGAAACGTCAGAATCCGGATTTTATATTTAAGATATTTCAGAGTCAACAGCTAAGCAGGATGAGTTATTTTTTTCCAGACACATTTCAAAACAGCTTTATACAGTATCTATACAACGACAGTAAAAATGTCTACTAAATCAAGAGATTCAGCGATAAATGTACACATTAATAGGCTGCAGGGTGATTACGTGTCCCACAAGTCCGATGATTCAAACTTTACTTTACCGAGCATTAATAAAGTGGGCGAGACCGCTTGATTTAATCCTCCTTCTGGGCAGTGATGACAATATTTATAGGCACTGTAAATCGCGGTGAATCCAGCTTCCTCTGTTAGAAAAGGTTCCAAGTGGATACACAGTAAGAACGGGCTGGTAAAAAAAAGAAAAAACAACTTTCTTGCGTTTTTGAACGTAAATTAGTTCACAAACATGTCTGTTTATGAAAGAAAGGGCCGCAGCCAACTTCTACGAAAAACATCTGGGCCATGTTTTCCGTGTTTTATCATTTGTTAAAAATCTTGGCATTCAGGATTCAACAAACCAGTCTGGGAGTTATCATTTGAGAAGGATAATTTGTGGAATGACTCATAGGGAGCATGTTTTTCTGGAAAACGGAATGTGTGTGACGTTAAATAAACATCAAAAACATGCGTGACAACTATTATTTTTGCAAACATTGGCTTCCTTGTTTTTGTGCGAATGGAGCTTTTCCACACAAAGTATGTGAAGTGCATGTAAAGTGGAAAACGTCTGCAATGCTACTCCAAATCCAACGTTGAGGCATACTTAGTAGGTCTTAAATCTATTCAAGACGGTTACACAATCCTTTAAAGAAAAAAGATAATGTAATTCTCTAACGTGCATAATATCGGGGGCGAGTGCATCTGGATGACATTTGAGTAAACGGAAGTTCTGTATATGACGAATTCCCAGTTCCAGCCTTTAACAACCCACACCAAGTCTACCACGACTGTTATCGCCACATCGTAAACAGGATGTGTTCATTAGTAATCTGTTCCCATAAAATTTATATTTTTATCGCAGGTTATTTATCAGTACTGATAAACAACACGTGTTTTTGTCCGTAAAAGGTTGCTCCGCTCGTGATTTGACTGTTATTTCCTCTGAATTCCTGGCATTAATGAGTGGGCTATTGCAAGCAGCTTTATTTTGAAATTCTGTCCAGTGTTTAACAGAGATACTACACGCCCGCTTGCAGAGACTAACATAATATGACGGCTCCAGGAGATCAAAGAGGGAGCATCAAACTCCATGTGCTATAAACCTTTCATGCCTTTTAATCAGTAATCTAGACGGGAAAATGAAAGATGGGGAGAAAATGAGACAGACAGAGACACAGAGAGAAAGCGATGAGAAGAAATAGAAACAGATTTAATTTTTTTAGGTCTTCGATCAAGCAGAACAGAATAGGGGGCCGAGGCACGCAATTTAACCATTGAGAATTATTAGGCCCCTCCTATAAAAATAAACAAGAGGGGTAATGACATTTGGCTCGACTGTAATCCATCTGCAGGCTTAAACTAATACAATATGTCGAAGTAGAACATTCTAATATTTTGAGTTAATATTTCTCAGAGTGGTACTGAAGCTAAAGACGTGATTCCTACCTTTGTTCACATGAATCACTTATTTCTGGGTGTAAATCAGGAACCTTTTAAACTTTTGATCAAAAGTCTTTCTTCAACCGAACGGCATATCTGGTAATATAATTTCATATCCCTGAAAATAATCCACCATATTCTATTTATTTGGATATTTGGGAAAGAAATCCCCACTAAGTTCACACGAGCTTCCCCGTATCCCACACGGCAGACAAGGAACGAACCAAACAGCCACATAATTGGGGTGACAATATAAGATGAAAAGCGAGGGTCGAGCTCCAAAACGTGGAAAGTATCAGCAGCTAATAAAGGCTTGAAAGAGCTGAATTAAGCTTGTTGAACAGCTTCACTGAGCCACGACCTGAATATTCATTAACTCAGAGTAAAACAACTAGAAATGAAACCATCTGAGGACCTCGGGTCTAAGAAAATTCTTTGGCCAGAAACTAGTGCATTCTATAGCTAACTAAAGTGTGTGTGTGTGTGTGTGTGTGTGTGTGTGTGTGTGTGTGTGTGTGTGTGTGTGTGTGTGTGTGTGTGTAAACGTTTGCACAGCGTAAACTACCAATAACCCAACATTAAATCTGACTTTGCCATGCGATCCATCACTGAAGGCACAGCACACAAACACCACACAAAAGTGCCTACCGGCGAGCTGCTTGCCCATGTTCTCCAGCTCTTTGGAAAAGAGGGAGTCACCCAGCAGCGGGCTGGTGCGCCCGACAGAGCCGCCACCTCTCGCAGCCTTCAGATCAGCCGCCCAGACAGGCTGACGCTGCTTAGCGAGGAGAACAGGAGAGAGAGAGAGACAAACAGTGGCGTTAGAAGAAAGACCCTTCAATTAACTCTTTAATGTAATTTTCGGCTTTCGCTGGAAATATCTCAGCCATATCTGCTGGGGGGGAAAAAAAAGAAAAAAAGGCCAATTATTATTTTATGGGCTTTAGAAAAACACAAGAAACCACGGCGAGCGAGGATGAAAGCGGAGTGAGTGTGCGGTGCGATCTGTTCGTGTCAGTAGTGGTTCGCGACATTTTTTCATGCGTGCAGTAGTCTGTAGGCAAAGAACACGGCACCAGGAGTTCATAAAACCAGCTGTTTGAGCGCATTATGTCGCCATCTTACAAGAAAATAACACACGATCATGTTCCAAAGAATACGAAAGACAACAAGTGGCAAGAAAAGACAGATTGGATCACCTGCGGCCTGTATATGTCTGCTTTGACGGACTCGGGTTGCCACGTCCTCGATGGTACACGAGTGGCCGGATGAGCTTTTAAGCCAATTGGAATAAGTGCAGGTGAGAAATACAATCTGCCAGGCGTGCTGGGTGTAACAAAGTTAAGTTACGGAAGATGCCGGCACTCTGCGTCATGCGATACGCGATGCACTTAATGAGAGACAGAGTTGACTTGACGAAGTGCTGCCACAGACAAAAGGCTCCCGGAGGTCAGGTGACATTCAGAACACTAGTGTTCCAATAGCATTTTAAAGGCAAACCTGGCATAAGAGGCTACTCGTTTAGTGATTTTCATGATTGAAAGTGGACGCTTCAGGAGGGGAGGAAGACTGAAAACCAGCGATCCTCTGATAAATGACAGAACATGATTCCCAGGGTCGATGGCGTTGGTCTGCACGGCCGTTAGATAGGCGAGGCGTCCTGCGGCAGCAGAACCCACATCGTCACAAACCGATCCTTAATTACAGCCTTCATAAAGAGGCAACGCGGACTGAACGTTACACAACTGAATCCCCTCCACCACTCGTTGGTGGTATCCCCCGAAATCCAACAGCATGACATCATCTTGTCCTTCTCTCTCTCTCTCTCTTTCTCTCTGGGTCTTTTCAGTTCTGGCAAACAAGGCCACCAACAGTTCTCTAGTTTAAGTTTCCTGAGCTCATACTTGTAATTTTACTGTGGGTCATTAAATTATAATGCGTTTCAATGTGTTTTATTTTACTAAACAGGGCAAAAAAAACGGTTTTATTTGGAGAGCAGTTGATATATGGAGATTTACTCTAATCAGCGATGTCCACAGTTTAAAATGTGCATGTCCCCCGCCCCAAAGCCCCGCTGTCCACTACGGGAAAGACGGTGCTGTAATCAGGACCACGTCGGCTGGGTCCTGCTGACAGTCCCACGGCAGGACAGACAAACAAAGTGTACCGGGTCTGCAAGCAATCCACCTCTGGAGATAACATCAGCAGGTCCCCCTGTTCTTCACCTCCTTCGTTCGGACGCCTAGAGGGGACGCTGTAATCTACACGGGCAAATGCATGTTTAATCATCTCCAAAATAAATGAACAGCAGTGACTTCTGAGTACATTAACGTCAGTGGCGCACAACCCAAAAACCTGGTGTAACGCTCAAGCAAAGACAGAAAGACAGGGAATTGAAGTCTGGAGTTAAATATTTTACAGCCTGCATGCGTGCAGCTCTACGTGTGTGTGGTCAGCAGTATCATCAGCCGCCGGGGATGCGTGCATGCAGTCATGGTTTGAGCCTACTGGTGCCTTTGCAAAGCACAATTGATGGCCACTCTTGTTGTGGTTATGCAGAGTATTATAAGAACCAATACTCACACATACACACACTCACGTGCAAACACAAACAGAAGCATATGTAACATGCGAGCAGCAATGCTTTTTTTCTTTTTTAGGCTTGTCAGGTTTGTCTCCATCTGGTTCTGGTTCTGGTCCCTGTTCCGTTGCAGCAGCCGCCTTCCCAATAGCCTTTGGCTTTTAGACGGGTTAACCTTTAACCCTTGGTAGCATCTCACCATGCACAAAGCCAAGCAAGGACAAGTAACTAAAACCAGCACTTTTAGGCATTCTGGAAGACCGCCGCGTTGGCTTTGCAAAGCCAGACCGCCTCCCACGAGCGCATTTTGTGCTCCACGATGTAGCCCAGCAAGTGCTGGTCTTCCAGTAAGGTGCAGGATGAGTTAATGCGTGAGGGAAAGAACACATGTGCGAGACGGCTTCCAGCACAGTTTTTGACCATAATGAAAACCAACCCTTCCAACCTGTGAGGAGAGTTCATAATCGAAGATAGGCCACTGCTGTTAAATCATTTTCGTATTGTTGTATGAGGAGCAACACGCAACTCTTAAATCGTTCCAGTTGTTTTGGCGAACCAGTCAATCTCTGAATAGTTTGACTGTTTTCAGGGTCGGCGGGCTAATCAATGAGCTAGCAAACAGGATATTGATAATAACGACAGGTTATGTGACGTACCGTCTGTTCCTCGGTGCTACCAGAACAGCCAGAAGAAAATAAGAGGCCGAGAAGGGTGCAGATGGTTGGAAAGTAGTAAAGGGCAAATTACTGGAATAGTTGCAGGAACTATAATAAGGAAAATCTGGCGATATTAAACAAACCTTTATAGGAATATAACTTCTCTAAAGCTATGCTCTAAAATCACATAGATCTGCACAGATGAAAACCATGCACGCAGAACTGTGGAGGTGTGGAGACAAGACTGGTGCCAAATGTTAGAAGCCATGCAGTGCATCTGCTGAAACGCCGCCAATATTCCAGTGGAAATGAAAACAAACCATCACAACGGTTCTGCCTTGTATCACACGCATGGCATTTCATCACAGTAATTATCTCACAAATAAACGGTTTCCTTTGGCAGGTTTTATGTTGGTAACACCCGTACGACACGAGCGAAATTTCATGCAAACAAATCACTTACCGCTTACAAAGGAAACTACAGAGGGATTGTTGGGAGAATTTGCTCCGGCAATTCCTTTAGGAAAGTATTTGTCTTTATGAGGCAATTATCACCTAAAGGAGCAGGCAGAGGCAGGGGGGCTTTCAGACTAATAATGATAACCATTAACAGTGTTTACTTTCACCCAACTTTTACTGCCCAAACCAGGGTAATGCCCAATGCACGCCATACTTCATTTAAGAAGTGCTAATCTTTAAAAGTATTAACAAAGGAAAGATGCCCTTGGACACTTGCATACCAATGCAAGGGACACATGTTCCTTAAAAAGGTAGAGCAGGGATGTTCTTTTAAAAAGGAAAGGATAGAGGTCAGGTTATTCCTCAAACTGTACGACCGTTTTTTCCAAATAAGCTCATAAAAGCAGGACTTTTCCTCCATACTGTTTAGTGATTGTGGCCCACAAGCCCCTGAAGGGCCAGTTAAACTAACAAGCTCTTACAAATTGCATTTGCTTTTTTTTTTTTTTTTTTTCAAGACAGCCAATCAGAAGCAATTACACACAAAACGGCCACATTAGTTCCAGTAGACGACAGGAGGACGTTTGCACTTGTGATTTCCACATGGGACACATTAGTATCCTGGACTTTCTCCTATAGAGATGTAGTGTTTGGTCCTTTGCTTTAAGTAGCTAAAAAAATAATGCCTCAATGTGGATATGAAGGAAAGCGGTAAAGAGGACTTGACATTTAGCGGGGAGCTAAATGTATCAGCTGATAGCACTGAGCTACGTGAGAAGAACAGTGTACAGTTGTCTGTGTTTTCTGTATAGTGGCTTGTGTATTTGGCCTAATACCTAATGACTGCCGGCTTTGATTCGACAGGTTCTTTCAGCCTCTAGAAGTCTGCTCCCAGTTAGTCAGAAGCCTCCCTGCATCTGCTCCACACACGTAGTAATGCCTACGCTCAAAACCTTTTTCGTGCTGTTAAAAAAAAAAAAGCCTCGTCTAACACTTAGATCGGGCAATTATAAAAAAAAAAAAAAAAAAAAAGGTTTCGGCTTTTTGTGCGATAATTATAACAAAAAGGGGTGCCGGCGTCTTAGCTGACTGCCTTATTAACAGCATGTGAGAGTCTGTCTGAGCCTGGCGTGTAACACATTAGGGCTCTAAAGATTTCCCCCCTGAAGCATGTCAAGTATCACGCGAGCCTGCTATTGAGCACGACTGGTTGTGCTCCTGTATCCCATAAATATCCAAGACCATTGTACAAAAACCTCCAAAATCAGCCTCAATTGTCATCACTGTCACTCGATATTCTTTTCATTCATTCCTCTCACATTGCACACAAGAGGAGGGAAGCAAAGTGATACAGGGAGGTATCTATCACTTATTCAGCACCATGTTGTGTTGTGTTGTGCGTTGACATGGATGCACAACGGATCCGTTTTGTCCTATAAAAGGAGAGGCGGCAACAGTAGAAGCCGAGGGGGGAGAGAGTGACGTGGTAATCGATGGCTGTAAGGTGATCCTGACTGTTTGCCGATGGAGGGAGGATGCAGGGAGGACACTTACAGAGCCCGACACTTGAGACAAGGCGTCGCATTCCAGCAAACGTCCCGCCACTGTGTCCACTCCGGGCAACGGAGCTGCTTTAGGACAACATTCACAACACAACAGAAAACAAGGAAGGAAGACAGGACAGAGCAGAGCGTGAGACCGCAACATTGTAAATGAAACTCCCACTTTTGGATTTGAACTGTGCCGCGCAACTTACATGAGATGTCAGGTACAGCTTGTTCCGACACGTGAGACTTGTGGTCCTCTTCAGATCTGGCGTCTGACAGGCTGTCGCCCTGCAACCTGAAAGACAATATGTTGCACATTTGAAGAAGAGCACGTGGGTGGGTTTTTTATCGGCACAAATCGCAACTCTTCATCGCGGCTCCTCGTGCCGCGCTGCTCGAAAACCACAGAAACGCATTCAGACATGTGGTGCGTGGATTGAACCACAGAGGGGCCGTTTTTTTTCACAACTTACTGACAAAGCAGAGCTGGCACATGGATTCTGTTTCCACCTTAAATCATTCAGTTACTGGCTCGTTCTCGTGGTTCCGAGCCCCTCCTGCACCTTTTCTATTCCAAAGATATCCGTTTGAACTGAAATGGAGCAGGCCTGAGAGATTTTGGTGTGTTCTTTAAAAAGGTAATAAAAGTTTCCCTGAGACAGGAAAAAGTATACTGAAAGACAAATAGGAATATCTTCTCAGCAGCAAGATAACGATACGTGGCTTTTTGCTGCTTTCACCGTTTTAACAGTTTTTAAAGCCATTGTTACTGTATCACACACCATTTTAGCTCAAAATGCCGCGTGCTGTTTCCATGTCATCGTGGGCCACCACGAGCTGAAGACAGAGGAAAGCAATCCTTGTGCTTTAATGGTGCAGCTGCATTCCGTCGCAGCCGCAGGGTCTCTCGGTTCCTACCTCTTCCGTGAGGGTAGAAGCGGTGCACGGTTTTTAAAGTGTATTCTGTTTCTTTTCCTCTTCATACATCCCTCGCTTTGTCGCTCCCTCTCTTTAATGGCCTTTATAAGACCATTAAAAAGTACCCGAGATGAAAATCACAAGGCCTGTTCTCTGAACAAAAGCCGGCCGTGGCCGCAAGTCCCCCCGCTACCATTCCCTCAATGCATTCCTGATAGGAAAGCCATTCATTTAATGAGAACTACAAACCCCAAAAGAGGTTTACTGGGATCTATCAATTTCCATGGACATCACCACCAACTCCGCCGGACTTTGCCCGAAGATCTGGGATGCGTTTGCACACAGGGGGGGGAATTTTGTGGCGGGAGCCTCATAGCCATTAAAAAAAAAGGCACTGAGAGGAGGACGGATGAAATGCTGGTGCGACCACAGCTGGCGCCAGAGGGACAGGGACATGGCCACAGAACGTGAAGGCCACACAGCGCTTTACACTTCAGCGGAGAGGCCGGAGAGGAAGCGGCGTGCTTCCTGACCCGCCCACACAGGCTTGGCTGGAGCATTGGTGACTCGGACAGGAGCGAAAAGACCCCGAAAAAAAGACAATGCACGTGTCCAAAGCATGGGAAACATTTCAGCTTGGGGCAAGGAAAGTCACATTTATTTTAAAGCTTGTATTGACACGCAATGAAGATAATATACACGCTATTCAATGTTTGTGTAGATTAAGTTTACAGTCATTTATTTACTTCTTGTGTCCTTGGCCTGAACACAGTAACATACAGGAGTGCTGCTGTAAATGAACACAAATGCTGGCGAGGCAGAAACCGTGTTTTCGCCTTCACGCTGTAGGTGTGAAAGTGAGCGTCACCTCCACTTGGCTCTGGGTGGTACACGGTGAAACCAAGTGGCTCAGTCTCGTTTGACCGCTCAGACAACTGAAAAGGGGGCCAAGTACAGCGACAAAAGCTTTCGAACAAAAGTGTAACGCGCAGGATGGCGGACCTCTCCGAACCCATAGCGTTGGAACGCTAATGTGTTTGCATGAGTGGTGACGGGTATGCGGGGAATGCTCGTCCAACTTGGGAAGGGCGTGGGTTCACAGACCCGCACGGGGCCGAGCAACTCTCTATTATCATTGTGAGTGAGTTCTATTCTAGCAGAAATAAATCTCCTTCAGCCTTAAAACGTACACCAAAATAACTGTTAAAAAAAAACAAACAGCGGCTTTCAGTAAAAAATAACGTCAGCAGGGTCACATCTGTACGGTCGGCCTGTCTGCAGGTGTGAAACACAGGGGCGCATGCCACATGTGGTAGTGCTCTTGGGAGTCAGTGTGGAGGCTGGCCCCCTATTGAGCCGTGATCAAAAGGTGTTTCTGTTAATGCCATCAACACAGAGTGCTAATGCACACGGCATTACGCCCGCGTTAGGACCGTCCCTCTCCTTGCTGCTCCCTGACCTCCCTGACCTCGGACTCCGTCTGTCTGCACATTCTTTCACGTGTGGATTCATCAACTACGTGTGACTGACTTTCAGAGATCTGTTCACGTCCCCGAATCTCACCAAATAGGACTACGAAAGAACACGACTCCAATATAAACGGGGGGAGCATTACAGGGGTCGGGTTATAGAGGGTGAAGCAAGAATTTGGACTGAACCGGACGGAGGGAAAAAGACAGTGAAGGAGAACAGATGTCTGAAATTTCAGTCGTTAAAAAATGAACACGCGGGCCAAGAAGGACTCCAGATACAGATGCTGCTTTGCTCCGCCGCCGAACCCGAGGACTCAACGATAAGCCCAAGACGTAAACTGTTTGCTTAAAAATACAGAGTCAATGCAATTCCTGCAAATCCACTGATAGCTTTGGATCCACTAATCCATCCTCCTGCAGAGGCCCTTGAGAACATCCCCCACCAGCAGCAGCCGCCGCGTGGAGCGAAAAACTGATAAAGCAGCGTGAATGAAAGAAGAGCAGAAAACATTCAAAAAAAAAAGAAAAAATTCCAAACAGAGGAGGCCGTGCAGGCAGATGTGTGCGCGTGGCGTCTCATCGAAAAGATACCCGTTTATCTCTGACCGGAATCAAGGAAAGGACTCCTGCCCACACCTGCCTGCTGTATCACATCTGACAGCGATGTGAGCGCTACACGGACGCTGTGGTTCAGGGGGCAACAAGAAATGTGTCAGAAGAGACGGAGCTGCGATAAAGACAGAAAACGGGGGGATAACGGAGACCGTTATCAAAGCTACGGCGGACTTGTGAAAACAAGCGACACCAGAATGCACTTTGGATGTGATATCGTTCCATGTTCTCAATGTTGAGGTATGCTATCTCTGACACAGATGCTGAGAGAGCGGGAGGGGGGCGGCGGTGGGAGGGGCGGGCGGGGGGGGGTCGCAGGGTTCGGCGGGAGGAGTCACGACCCGGGATAAAACCAAATATAGACGATGGGAAAAAAATGAAATCCATTCAATTGGCTAACAGCAAGCTTAGTTTAGATCAAATGCATTTGGGCTTTGTATAATTTAGAGGCTTAGAGATGCTCAACATTTGTTGAGAGTTGGATCAGAGATATAACTGTCACGTAAGATTAGATACGCTCGGCGGTATGTTTACGTGACGGACCGAAGCTATTTGTGTAACTCCTGGCAAGAAAAAAAAAAAATTCCCCAAAATGTTTTCCTTTAAGCCCGTGTAGGAACAGACTCTACGGAGAAGCAGCCAAACAGATAAGAGGAGGAGGAAACATTTACCTGGCACACCTGGAGCAGATGTTCAGAGTAACTTTGGCCTGCGGTTCCGTCTGATAGGAGCTGCGCCCCTGGCTGAACTTACTGCCGGACGGAGCCAGGCCCGTCACGCCCTCCATGCGCAGGTCATCCAGGTCCTCTGGAGGAACAGAGGAAGGAGAAGGGAGAGGGAGAGAAAACAAGGGAGAGAAATGGCCGCTCATTAATCACACTTTGGTCCCTCTGGTGTCAGCGTGATGCCCGGCGATGACAGTCGGCTTCGGGGGCCAAAAAGGAGCAACCGAGCACAGAACAGTAAATAAACATCCTGCTGCCGCGCTCGCTCGCACGCTTTGCACACACAAGCATCCACGGCAAAAAACAAAAAAGAAGAAAAGCCGTCGTCACCAACACCACACTCTTTGTTATGTGGAGTGATGCAGAAGAGTCAGTGACACGCCACACGCAGAGGCCTTTTTCACTTTTCTTCTCGTGAACATAAATTCACAATTTTTGTCAGAAGACATCGGCTTCATCGCGAAATGCAGCTGCTTCTTGAGCGATGACATCACTCCGTGCGGGACAATTAAAAGTTGACACAAGACTAAAAGGATCAACAGCCATTGTAGGGGAGTACCTAATGTTCTGCATGAACACACACACGTTTATTCAATAGACACTGTAGCATGATAGGGAAAGAAAGGACAAATCACGGCAATAACAAGACTTCTGAAAGAACCGCACTGACAAAGAATAACACAAAGTTGACGGGCTCATTAAATATAACAAGGGTTCAAAGGCGAGAGTCTGAATCCGCCAGAGCATTTTGGTTTTGAATGCATCCTCAAGGAGATAAAAGACTTTGCAGTACTTTCCGTGTTATGAGAATGGGGAGCGAGTGGGTGTCTGGACTCTGGACTTGGGTTGGATTCCCCGGTCAATCTTTGTAAACACATGTTGAGTCAAGCGAAGCATTTTGACCGATCACCATAACAATATTTGTCCCGTTGCTCTCGTCCGACCAGAAGAATTTCGGAGCTTTGCCAATGGGTGGGCGGCAGCGCGCGCGCGGGGGGGGGGGGACAGACAATGTATTCTCCCCTCCGGGCTGCCGTTGTTTCTGCTCTCGCGTATGCAGTGCGAGCCCGTGCGTCCTTCTCAGGGGAAAAGTAATAATGTTGGTTCTGAATGGCTAGACACACACATAAGGGTCACGTTACCTGGCCCCTGGTTTATGGGGGAGGGCAGGGGGGGGGGGGGGGTAGGGGGGAGGCCTCACACCTTGAAAGAGGAGAATGCATAACCAATCACCTGGAATCAATTGAATGAAACTCAAAAGGCAAAAGATCTAAATCGAGAGTCTATTTAAGACCTTCAACAAAGTGGGGGTGGGGGGGTTCTTGCTTTGCTTAAAGTTGGACAACATCACCATCAGCCCATCCGTCATGTCACTCACGCCGCGTCCCCGCAACGACAACACGTGTTGTTTTAGTGTTTTTGAGGAGGACAGATTCATTCCAGTCCAATCCTTAAGCAGGCATATTAAACGTCCCATTCATCACGGTACATGCGTTGCACTATTTGCACTATTTGGGCCGTTCGCTGGTCGTGGGAACCGCTCTAGTCTTCACCTTTCCCTCTTTTTTCTTCGTCCGATCCCCCTTCTAAACATTTCCCTTCTTCTGGCAAGTGACTAATGTTGCACGCCAGATTTTCTCCGGGTCATCGCCTGTGATACAAATCATGACTTGACGCTTGGAAGCGCTCCCTCGGTTTGAGGCCGCGGCCGGCGTGCACGAAAAAAAGCAACGAAAAGAACAAGATCGGCTGCGTCCCCCCCCCGCCCCCCGGAGGACAACGCGGCCTTGGGTTGTGCACATCTCTCTTGTCACAGGACTGGTTTCCTGTCAGGTCATTGTGAAATGACACAGAAAAGACCTCCGTGTCTGAGGGAAGTGAAAGCTGATTCTCAGGCTCTCGTTGGCGGCGCGTCTCCCGCGCGGACCACACGGAGCTGAGTGAAATTGTAGCAGGGGTTGAAAACCCGGACGAGGGCGTTGCATTGAAGCAAACCGTTTCCCTTCGGCCCGGGACGGGAGACGAGACGAGAAAAGAGAGACGAGTGCGCCCTGGTGAGAGGGTGAAGGTGGAGCTACGCAAAAAGGTCCCAACTTCTGCCCCAAACGACTCTTTTATTATTATTACCTGGATACCTTGTTGGGGTTTTTCTTCATGTCACACAGAAGATCAAGTGTCTAAGTATTCTCCCCCTCCCCCCCCCCCGACCCCAAGACCACGACCGCCTCCCGGGCTTCTGTCTAGACACAACAAACATCTGTCCACACTCGCTCCCAGGGCGCCGCCCGGCCATGCATGCCCCCCCCCCTTCCTCCAACGTCTGACAACGGGACACGGTGGATAGATACTGGGCCGGCGCTGGGGGTAAGTTGAGGAAGGGGGGGTTGGTGGAAGTGGGTAAGGAAGGTGTGTAGGTAAGGAGGGGGGGATAGGGGGTGTAATGGAAACTATTTGAGCGATGCGATCCCAACAAAAGGCCTGAAGGATGAGGAATTCTGTGCCGCAATCACTCACTGGAGAGGAGCAGAGAGGAGCAGAGAGGAGAGGAGCAGAGAGGAGAGGAGAGGAGCAGAGAGGAGAGGAGCAGAGAGGAGCAGAGAGGAGAGTTTTTGAGAGGAGAAGAGCAGAGAGGAGAAGAGCAGAGGGGAGCAGAGAGGAGCAGAGGGGAGCAGAGAGGAGCAGAGAGGAGAGGAGAGGAGCAGAGAGGAGCAGAGAGGAGAGGAGCAGAGAGGAGAAGAGCAGAGAGGAGAGGAGCAGAGAGGAGCAGAGAGGAGAGGAGCAGAGAGGAGAAGAGTAGAGGGGAGCAGAGGTGAGGAGAGAGGAGCAGAGAGGAGTAGAGAGGAGCAGAGGGGAGCGGATGTTGTCTTTCCCTCCAACTTTCCGTGTGATTTAATGTTGTTTAGACAGCGACGGACCGACTCGCTCTCCGCACTCCCCGAAAGAACGGAGCTGAAGACATAATTGGCGCAACCCGCTGCACAAATAACTAATATACACCTTCCGGGGTTGACACGTTGACAGATGTTACAGGGGGGGTGGGGGGGGGGGTCGTCCTCTCACGCACTACCCCACACGTGGACGCGCACACACACACACACACAGTTCAGCGCCAAATCCAAGGGCTGCAAGTTATCGTGTCACTCATTCGAAAGTGAAATAATTCATTTTCCATTCTTTCATGAGCAAGGGGGAGAGGGGGGGGCGAAGGGGGGGGGGCGTCCCGCCGCACAACGGCGGGCTGTAATTAATCGTCTTTAAGAGACCCACATGTGTGAGCACCACACTTGATGTAGATTTCCCAAAAGGAAAAAAAAAAAAAAGTGTGTTCGCCGCGTTGGGCGACACTCGCAGACCTCACACTTCAGCCTTCCTCACGCGTACAGGCGGCATTCGTTTTCCATTAGGCCCCCAGCACCAAAGCCTCCACGCCGGCGGCTAGTCGCCACGCAGACATCTTTGATGTGATGTCTCGCCGGGGACGCGATTGTTTGGCTTTGTAATAAAAAGAAAAAAACAAAATTCCAATTTACATTTTCATAATTGTGTCGCGGCTTTCAATGGCAACACCCCCCCCCCCCCCCCCTCCCTCTCCCACTCCTGGCCTTAAAACATGGCAGTAAAAACTCAGAATCCGATCAACTCTGATCAGAATCAGATGGGGACACACATGAGCAGAGTAGCAGAGCGTGGAAAGTCCTATCGGAGATGCAGACCTCCTTTTAGCAAATATGACGTGACGCGAATAGGACGTCACTGTAGGCTCAGCAGAGCCCGTCGTTGTGGTCGGAGCGGCGACTTCAGCCTGCCTGCGTTTTGGAAAATTTCATGATTATTTATTTATCTGTTGCTAAGTGTGCAGTTGAATTGTACTGCTTTGTGAAAATGTGTTTTTGCTGCTGGGAACAAGGCTGCAAACACTTAGCAGTAATCCATCAAACGTGCCTGTACGGGAGAGATGCTGATGGCAGAAGGGCAACGGAGTTTGATTTAATAAACAAGCGAAGGGATTTGTTGATCAAGTGCGATCGACTCTTTCCTTCCAGTTAAAATGTCTGCAGTTACTTGAGATCGTGGACGCAGCTGCGCGCATCACGCTACACACACACGCACACACACAGCTCGACGAAAAAACACAATGACTACTGATTACACACTAACTACCGTGCAACGGCACCAAGTCTATAACTCTCTTTAATCTTTTTGCAGCAGAGGAGGCGGCGTGATGTAAGCGATGTGAGTAACCCAAAATACACAAGGCATCTATTCACCAATGTCCTTTATCCGACATTCTGGATAACAACGCCGTCCGCAGAAATCATACTTTTTTTAGGGCGAGGCCCTTTTACGCATTCTACTGCTCAAGTGACTGATGCGCTGAGAAGATACTGCCGCGTTGTGTTGGTTTACATCGTCTCCAGGGGCAACTGTTGTGTCTCTAGGCTGTCTGGGTGCGGATGAAGGGGCCGATGGGGGGCGTGTCTGTGAGGGGCGGTGGGGAGGAGGAGGGGCCGTGGGATGGGGGGCTGCTGGCGTCAGGAAGTGTGCGCCTCGTCTGCTGGCTGTGGCGGTCTGAATGTCGGCCTAAAGGCAGACAAAGAGACAGCTCTCATTCAGCCCATCCAGCGCTTCAGGTTACATCAACACACTGAGTTCAATGGGAATATCAGCATTTCAGCCCTTAAAAGTCTTCTGTTTTTGCTCTGCACTTTATTTGAGACATGTTGCTGTGCTGTCATTAAGGTATCTCGGGATGAGTGAGACTTTGACCAGCAGTGGCACTAGAGGAGAGGGGGGTTAAAGGTTCACCCATGTCAGCCCGCTGCAGGCTCTGAGAGAAGTCTGGACCAAAAGAGACCTCGGCTTTCACTTCTACTTTACTGTTTGGGAAAGATGGGCTCACTTTGACAAAAACAAGAACTGCTTTGGCATCGTCCCACATGCCCGCCTGATCGAGGCAGATAAGACACACAAAAGAGCATCACACAGGAATTGTAACTCATCCCCCCAGACGCTGCTTTTATTCTGCGTGTATCGGAGATCAGACTCCATCAGCTTCATGGTCATCCTGTACCCATCAAACGCGCGCTGGTCGCAGGGAATCGGTGAGAGTGGGTAACGTTACTCTCACGCCCCCCCCTCTACTGTTTCAGAAAACAAGCCGGGGGTGGGTCGACATTCTGAAAGGGTCTGTGGACTCATGCGTGTGTGTGTGTGTGTGTGTGTGTGTGTGTGTGTGTGTGTGGGTGGGTGGGTGTGTGGGTGATTTTATTGTCCACTGGACAGGACGTTTAAGTTAAGTGCAAAGTGTCCTCCAAATAAACTGAATAAACAATTGCTTACATACACAATATATTATGATTTGACCTCGCAGTGCCGTCCCAGTGAACAGCTGGAGAATCAGTAAGACTTCAGAAAATCAAAGCAGATGTTATTTTCTCCTTTTGAAGGTTCTGAGCACAACAAATCCTCCTTAAGCCATGTCTTTTTAATTATATTCAAATAGTGTAACATTGACTAAAAGTACTGTGAACTATTCCAAGAGGCTCCTACTGTTATTTTAGGAGATCCTTATCCTCAGTCTGGAAAACCAAGCCACAAAACCACTCAACTGATAATAAGACACACAAAACCAAACAAAACGCTGTACGTGTGTGTGTGTGTGTGTGTGTGTCTGTCTCAGTTCAAAATGCACTCATCTGCTAAATACACTGTGTTAAAATCCTATTTGATCTGGCTTTGTTTCCAAGCAGCGGTTTACACAGCGGCTGTAATGCCACATTGGAGCCACTAGAGGTCCTCCTAACACAACGCTACACTAGACAACACGCCTCCAAGCACACCTGGGGCAGTAGTGACTGCATTAAAGAGAACGCGAGGGGCAATAACTTCACACACACCAATGCAACAAATAGACTATTTGATCCTATCGGATATTTTATCACTCGAGATTAAGAGAGAAGAATTAAAAGAAAAAATAGAATGTGGTATTTCGATCATCATGACATTTTCCGTAAGCGACTACCAATTACAACCACCAGTACTTTGCAACACAACATTTTAATCGATTGAATTACAAATGTATCCTCTTCAACAGCGAGGACCGTTCATGATGAAGAGTCCTTGAGCAAGTCACTGAATCCCCCGCCAGCTCCAGGCGTGCTGCTGAGCAGCCGACCTTCACGAGGTCAGCGAGCGGGGAAAAAGGTTTCTCCTTCGGGGATCGATATACTATCACAGGATCACGCCAGCGGCCAAGGAACATCGGTCATCTCGCTTTTGGTCGAAAGGCGACAGAATTTGTGCCAAGGCCCTCTTTCTAAATGAGGCCCGCAGAGCGCCGCGAGGATCGCTCATCGCTGCACGCGGCGGTCGAGGCCGGACGCTCAGAGTGACCATCTGCACGGTGGCGGTGGGCCTTGTGGAGAGCGAACCATGATCAGGCCTCGACAGAGAAGGACCTGCGCGACAACAACAACTACCCTGGACCATGGTGACTGAGCGAATGTGAGCTATGATCAAGGAGGCCACCACAGAACATCTACCTTCTTCTTTATGGTGTTCACGTAGTATTTTCTCAAAATTTCTTCTAATTATCCCATATTATTATAACAGTCAGACAAATCTGAACTTTTTATTTAGAAAGTGCTTTAAAAAGTATACTAGTCAATAATATATAAACCTGCATTTTTAGTCAAATTCAGGAATAAAATCAATGAATTCATAAATGTTTCACAACTTCTGAAGCTACAGTAAAATCAAATGGAGCCTCCATTGTTTTGGTTCCACTGAAGCAGAGACTGAATACAGTCAATTTCAGCTAATTAGGTTGTGCTCAGCCACACTTTTAATTACTTTTTGTATTAGTCAATTAGGAAATTGACAAAGACATAGAGAAACAATCAGTGTTCTATTGCAATTTGCAAAAAAAAAAAAAAGCCCGGATTTGGTAACTGTTCAATATATGTGATTTTATTATTTAATTTGCTTTACCAGTAATTGATTGATTGATGATTTAGCTTCACGAATGGCAACAATCGCCCGCTGCAAATCCAGTGTACTGGGCCAGTCTGCGCCACGTCGATCGGAGATGGTTCACCTTTGGAATGGCCCCATCGAAGAGATCCCGCTAACAAGCCCGAGCGTCTCGGTGCTGTGACAGTAGAGCGGGGGGGTCGAGGCGTACGTGTGTCAGCGGCTCCGGGGGCGACCCTGACACTCATATAATTGGGGCCCGTGTTGTAGTAAAAAAGGAGTTTGTTGTGTGCCGTTATCCCCCCCCCCCCTCAAAAAACAACAACAACTGTATGTGTGAAATTTGTTCGCCAACGTAGAAGAAAGTGTGTGACTTTGAATTAAGTTCTATTTGTAGAAAAGCTGACTTTTCCCGGTACGAGTTCAAAAATTCAACCTTTGATGGATTCTGCAAATAATGAAGTGATGAAATCTGCGCCGTGTGCACGGGTCTTCATTTCTTGCAGCATTGCGATCCAGGAAGAAACAAGCTTTACCACGCTACAACAAAACACAATTTGGCGTGAGGCACCACATCCTGTGTCTGCACGGACAGGACGACCTGTCGGCAGAAAACCGCCTTCCACCCACTCGCTCGCCTGCCCATCCGTCCTCAGGCGGCACACACTGGCGTGACATGCATCAAGGAATGTGATCCACACACACACACACACACACAAAAAGTAAACAAAAAGCAGTGATTTGATGTCAGTGTGAATGCATGGACTCTCCGGCTGACAGCATCTGGCAGAACTGTGTAAACAGGAAGCAAAGTTTCCCCCAGCAGGTCCTCCGAAAGTGCTCTTTAAAAGCCGCACATAAACCGACTGCTGCGTTGCTCTTCCAGCGATCATCCCGCTGCACGTGGTCTGCATGTGAACGGTCCAAACACACGTAACTATCCTCTCGCCTTTAAGCGTTCCCTCACATTGACTCACAGTTCAATAATGCAGCGTCTACTTCATCCTCAACACGTCTCAGTAAAGGCTTAGTTGTTCCAGCTGAGGAGCCCCAAAGTCACTCAAGTCTACAATAGTTTCAATAAAAAAATTAAATTCAAAGGAATGCAACCATAAGGGGTCCGCTGCACTGCACAACACTGTTCACACAATTGGATGTCTTGCATATTTTGCATCTTGCATTGGGTGCATATGTGGAATATGTGGCACTTACCCAGTAGCTCCATCGCATCGTCCTCGTCCTCCATCTCTTCCTCTGCGACCGAGGGGGTGGGGCTTTGGAGCGAATCGAAGGAGTCCTGGAACAACATGGCCGCCAAGAGCTTCTTGTGATGCTGCTGCTGCTCCTTCAGCCCTTTGCTCTTTGTTTCCATCTTCAGGCTGAAGAGGCAAGGAAGACGAAGGCGTCGGGTTTGAAGAGCGAAAAAGACTCTTTAACTGTCAAATATTTAACATGACGTCTTAAAATACATCAGCTGCCGATAATGACTTGTTACATTTGGCTGCATTTTCATGGTTGTTTGGACAAAATAACATACAATCCTCTTATGTGCCGAGTAGGTGCAGAACACCTTGCTACGAAAGGTCAGCAGGGGAAAGCTGAGATGGGAGACGGAGCCGAAGCACGAGGCAGTAGCTAAAGGACGTGAGATGAAGAGAGGGCCCCCCCCCCCCCCCAAAGAGACCGCTTGCATGGAGAGCTTTTAGTGGAGAGGAGAGGAGAGGAGGGCTAATAATAAAATCCAAAAGTAGTAAACAAAGGTAAACCCACAGGGGTACGAGGTACTTTGGTTGGAATTGTTTTAGCCTTGATAAAAGGCAAAGGGAAAAGCATAAATGCAAGAAAGAGATGTTTTTATTAGGATCCAGCAGTTGTTCAATTTGCATATGATTTACACTTTACTTTATAATGAAGGGTAATGCCAACATTTGCCATACATGCTTTCGTTCAATTTATAAACATAACAAGACGCAGCAATGGAAAATAGACAAATGATCAGCTGTATCTGATATCCACAGAGACGTTTTTAATTAAAGAATTAATACACAAGGATGTGTATCTTTTAAGATTTATTTTCTTGAAAGACTCATTTCATTCCACAGGAGAAGTTACCCATCTATGTATTACTTCCTATAAAGTCACTGATACAATCATGATGCAGGCTTCAGCATTTAATCTATATTGAATGAATTAATTCCCACAGGATAAGAGCTTGGATTAGCGGAGCAGAGGAGTATTAATTTGATGCAAATCTCAGTTTAATGACTTCTATTCACAGATAACGGTCATAAAATGACAGATGTGTCTTTGCACTCGTTGTGTAGTATTTCTGGGATAATAAGATCTCCTACAATGAGCAAAGCAAAGGCGGTTAATGCACAAATGTTGTTCTTCGAGTAGAAAATCTCCTTCAGAGAAAAAGTCGAACATTTTCTTGTGGTTGCTAGTAATATTGTCTAGACAGGGTGGATCAATTCGTGCACAGTGCTGCAGTGAGAGCAAGACAACATATTATGTTGCTCATATCTCCAATGACAATCTCTCTGGCTCACTGCGCATGCTGGCAACTTGTACAGTGTCAGCTTGTATTCCCCCCACAAGAATCAGCATCAGATGGTGCAACCCCGTCATTGTAGATGAAAAACATAGCCATAAACTCAAAGTGGGTGTTGCTGTATTCCCCTCCATCTACCCTCTATTATGATCTTGCTCTCATAAGCATGGGGCATGGGACGAGGTCTCATTCCACTGGCCAGACGGAGAATAATCCGGTTTGAATAAAACTTGAATATTTCAACGCTCTCGCTCCATTTGATTTCCCTGTGCTGCTTGCGCTCATCCACCTTGACTTTGAAGCCAGTCAAACAGAAAGCTTCTGCCCCCCCCTTCCCCCCTGCCAGCTCTGCGCGCGCTGGTCTGAAGACGTGAGAGACGAAAGCCAGGAGTTCAAAAAATGACAGCGAGTAAACCTAGTAGACATAGTCCGAGGAGAAAGATGGGACATTGCTGACAAATAAGGTAAGTGACATGAAATCACGTGGGGGCTCTAATCTCAAAGTGTACAAGGAACCAGGAGGTGGCCCACTGAGGCCCAAATAGGACAGTGGAGCTCTGCCGGTTTTCTACTTGGTCTAAGTGGCCGTTTTGATCTCACTAATTTGATCTCAAATGCGTTCGTTTCATGGTGACATCTAGCTAAAATGTATGACCCACAGCGTGTTCCAGCCATTCCCCCTTTTTAGTCAGCCAGATTTCGCAATGATCTCTGTGAGGTGACGTCATCTTTTACCCCATAGAAGATGACGCTGTGATTCAGCTCCAATCGCCAAGGAAACTAAACTGCATTGGCAAACATGTCAATGAATTGATTTCAGTCTTTCATGAAGTCTCTCCTGATTGAAACGATTTTAAAGTCAACTCTCTTATACTCTCCCCCCTTCAAATATAAAACCCTCCTCACACCCTCACAGTTTCACTAATCCCCCCCATTTTTGAAAAAAAAACCTCTGATCTCGATCCTCAAACAGGATCAAGTGGGACAAGGTTCCCATTTAATGCAATCAAGAGTTGATATAAATGGTCTAAGCTAAATACTCCTCCAGTTAGTACGAGAATGCGCTGTGATTATTTTGGTGCGCTGCAGCATCCCAAACACACGGCTGCACGCGTCTCCGTTCATCCGTGAAACCAGGAACCTTCTCATTTGCACAGGAACACCAGCGAGGCCCTACACAGCCTTAACTCCCAGTTCAGGCTCCCAACTAAGTGATTTCTCCCTATAATCCACCCATACAGTCACGCTAATGAGATTAACACTCATGTGCGTGTGTGGACCGCTCGTGATATACCATTTTGCAGCCGATCGTCTCTAATTGGTCACATTGGCGGCCGAGGTCCATGTGACGGCTTTTTAGGCCTCGACAGTCTCGCAAACACATGAATTTATGACGAGAAAAAGTTGAAAACAGAGAGGGCCTCACACACACACACACTCAGCGGTTCAACATGTGACGCAATTGGATTGTCAAAAAGAAAAAAAAAACGGGCCCGCGCCTTAAGCGCACAGAAATGAGGTTAGCTTTAATTCAAAATTGGGTCGAAGCAGCATCGCGTTTTATCGCGCCTTTGAAATGGGATTATCGAACCCATTTCGGACGGGCATTCCTGAGGCAGCCACAGTCAGATGTCTGCCTCCTCCTCTTTTTTCCAAGGAGCCAACAATAGCTGTGTGAACTTCCTCAAAAGTTTTAGAACTTTCTTTTGATGAGCACACACGTGTGTGTCCCGCCGATCACCGACCTGCCGTCTCCGCTCCAGCACGCTTGGGTTTTCGCCCGAGGGACGGGGGGTCGCAGCATCTCCGAAGCCAGCGGGTCTGCGTCCTCCTCTTCCCGTCCAACCCACTCGCCCACCACCCGAGGGCGCACCATCGAGTTGTAGCCTCCCAAGTTCTGCAAGGACAACAACAGCGAGATCTAATGAGACGCAGAACAACCCGGCCGGAGAGGGCAGACGGGGACACGGAGGTAAAAGGAAAAGGCAGACGAGCCGTTCTGCTCGTCTTTGATTGTATGGATGAAGATGTGTGGCAGAAAAATGCTTTTGTCACTGTGTGATCAGAGCAGGCGCTTAGCATTCATTCCCAGTCCCGTCACCACAGAGAAAGAAGGAAAATCTCTGGGCCGGGAGCCAAGGACGTTGGACACGTACTGCTGCACTGAGCAAAAAGTGGAGCCCTTGTCAAAACATCTGCAGCGTTTATCATCACGACCCATCAAGTCCGAATCCCTCCTCGTGCATCGACGGACTGGGCAGCTGCTGCGCTGTTGGGTTTGGGAGGAGAATCGGTGGTAGGGGGGGGGGACAAACGCAGAGCTCAGACCAAATCGTTAGATGCAGCGGCAGGGGAGACGCAGGCGTGCTCACTGAAGTCATCACTCTCTTGCACATCACTCTCCCGGGGGAGAAAAAGAGCAGAGCTGCTCCGTCAGACAAGTGGGAGTTATTAAACACGGCTTTTAGTTGTGTCAGGCGAGCGCCGCAACGAGAGTGGATCACAGAACTACTTCTCCACGGCTGTAAAGGCCCATTGACGGCATGTACGTTAACGTGGACAGAGACTCCAATCCAGTCGTTATCTACCTGGTCGAGCTCGTCGGAGATGGCGATACCTGTAAAGAGAGAAGAAAACGCTTTAAAAGCACAAAGAAGCACCCGATACGGTTCAAAATACAAGATTTTCGCCTCCTTCCAAGCTCAGCGGGCTTCGGCCACTCACTGCGGGACAGACTCTCCAGCGCCTTCCCCAGCTTCTTGCTCTCCTGCAGAATGTGGCTGAGCTCGTCAAAGTCACGGCTCTCCCTCCAGTCCCAGGACGGGCACTCGATGGACCGCGGCACTGGACAACGCGGCAAACGGAAAACAAACACACACACACACACACACACACAAACACGGTTTTTGGTCACGTCCTCCCTGTTTGTTTGTTTTGAAAGCAAACATCAAAACAAAATGTACAGACTGCCACTGTGTGCCGACAGGATTTTGCGAATTGCTGCAGAATAGGTGAATTCGTGGTGACTGGACGGAGGCCAGGGGACCCACATCTTGTACCGACATCCTACCCGCCTCTCTCTACAGCTTCTATGTGATGGTTAATTCATGAACTGTTGCATTCAGACATTATTTATGGAAAGAAAGACAGATTCTCTTTCATACGAGGAGGCATTGCTTGTAGTATCCAACGTTAAGCTCTAACACGACTTGGTTTTAAATAACATGTAAAACCAGCGCGTTATGCAGAGCTTCCAAACAAACGCACAGGTCCCTGAACATACTACTACTACTACTACTACGTACAACTGAAAGGGAAAGGATTTTTCAGTAGACCTAATGCACGTTGGGAGTGACAGACGTGATGACAGGTGCAGTGAGGAAGCATCGGCCCTCTGTTTGACAGCACGGGCCGCTTCAATCTTCCTTCCTCTGTTGAGCCTGAATAAGCCCGCTTGGCAATGTAACCACTATAAACACAAAGCAAGTGTCTCTGCCAATATGGACTGGAGAAGAAAAAATATATGTTTCATTACTTCGGGCAAAGGGTGTCTTTCTGTGCTGCAGCCATAAAGGGCTGTGCTGCATTAACGGCATATATTAAGGGTTCAGTTCCCGCTATGGCTGCTCATTAACGCAGATACTGTAGCAGTGAGGCCAAAGCACATTAACCCGTTTATCAAACTGTGAACAGTGTGCAGGAGTGCAACCTCTTCCTATTTATGACAGCTGTTGTGATATTACCACGTTTTACAATAATGATGAGTGGCAGTTCGTTTGATTTACATTAATAATGAGCTCTGCACGACCAGGAACATTTGCATGTAGTTTGCCGTTTGAAGGTTTCTTACTCTCATAATGTGCATCATTTTAGAATACCTTGATGTGCTGACTTTATTCCTATTCCTCCTTATTAACCTCAAGCCCTCCTCACGCCATTAGTTTCCTCTTGATTGAGAGAAATGCTCAAACCGCAGCCCAAAATAGGTCCGTCTGGCAGTGACAGAGCACAATGTTGAATTATTAAAGTAGTCTGTGGCTCTGCTTGCTCCCTTTTTGACCGATGCTCATTGTGTCGAGCGCCATACTTCATTCCAACATCATAGCTATGATCATTTATCACGGAGAAAAAAAAAGTTTCCGCGCCGGAAGATCTTCTCATCTGCGTTAGTGCGAGAACTTTGTGAACAATTCATCTTCAGAGTGTGTAGCGGTGCAGAAACAAGTGTGTAGCACGTCATGATAAGTCATCTGCAGGGCCGTGGGATGCTGGACTAGAGACTGTGACTTACTTTAATTAGAGATCATTATATCAAATTAAAAATGGAGATTAAAGTCAATGGAGTGCGTAATTGGGATACAACAGGTACAGCATCAAAACTGTGCAACGTGATTCTCTGAAGTGAGTCGGTGCACCTTAGAATCCGGGGGTTCAAAATCATTGCTTTTAAAAGAAAAAGAAAAGAAAAAACTTACAAGACTTGGATTCCGGTGAAGGGGGCGAGATACTTGAGACGGCCAGGTCGCTCTTGGACTTCTTGGGTTTCTTTGGGTGAATTTGCCACAGCTTCTCATAGTTGCTGTTCTCCCTTCGGGGGTTTTTGCTTTCTGCTGGGAGAGATTGTCACATCTCCTGTTATGAATTCCCGCTCAGGGAAATCCCCGGAAAGCACAACTGCAGGGACGAGTTTGCAGGCGCCGCTGCGTCTCTTGCAGCCGATACGCGTCGCACAACGCGTGTACTGTGGGGCGGGAGTACGCGTGGAGAACTGACCTGGGGAGCTCTGCGCCCACAGTGCTGCGGAGCCAGAGAGAGCTCTGTGCAGCTTGCCTGGGCTGCCTTGCTTGGTCTGCAGGTGATCAATGAGAAAAGGGATTGGATGGTCGGGAGTCTCAGTTATCAATTTGGTCATCAACTCCTACAGGAGCAGAGCAAAGCAGAGAGCGGTTAGATGGAAGGGGAACAACAGTGAGGAGAGAGAGAGAGAGAGTGGCCAGCGGAGTGTCCACTATTCTGGAGAAGACAATCATATTATTAAATATATGTATTATATTGTGACAGGCAATACAATCTTACAATCACCAGGGCAGTCTTGTTGTGCAGTAGGCGGCACTATCAAGGGAGAGATAAGCTTCTTTTCTGCCCCGAAATAAATAAGAAGTTGAGGCAAACGAGACAACGGTATGTTTTCCAAAATTTGCTGCACTTCTGTGTCACTTAGTAACAAGCGTGGCAAGCACGTGAGCATCTAAATCAGACCGATCAGCGCGAAACACAAGCAGGGAAAAACCACAGACTGCAGCATGTCTGTGTCTTTTCGAAATGGTCACGAGGCAAAAAAGACAAAAGCACTTCATAATCTGTTGAGAAATCCAAAGAACAGAACACAAACGTCTGAATGATGTCCGCGTTGAGAATGACTGGGATTAACTATTGCTGCCTCAGCGTGCCAAGGGGATTGTCATTGGACGGACTCATAAACAGGAAAGAAAAGTTGAAATGCATTGAAAGATTGAAAGCACGAAGAGAGTCACACCAACCAGGTGTTGAGGGTTGAGGCCACAACGATCTCTGCATGCTAATTTAAAATCCACTAATGGGAAGGAATGATTCAGTCAAAATCCAATCTGTGTGCTTTTATGACAGATGTCCGTAGAAATAACCAAAACAGCCCGCCAGCTAAGATCCCAAAATGGTTCTGAAAAAATTATTTTATCACACATTTAGGAAAATAACTGGCCCTCTGAAGCTGTCGGGTGCACACATGCCGGTGTATGAGGGGCTTTGGTGTATACTGGCAGGATGAGAGCAGCAGCAGAGGCTGACTTCAGGACGGCGACTGCGGAGAAGCCACGGAGGCCATTAGTGGACCGCAGTGAATTAGCACTAATGTATGGATAGAACAAGTGTGTGTGTATGTGTGTGTGTGTGTGTGTGTGTGTGTGTGTGTGTGTGTGTGTGTGTGTGTGTGTGTGTGTGTGAGAGCACAAGTACTACGTGTTTCTGTGTGACAGGCGTGTTACTCTACGGAGGGATCATGTCCAGCATCGTGTAGCTTCATGATGTAATGTATGTGCTTGCCCTTGTGGACATGCTCACGTGTCTGGGGGGGTGGTCCGGTGAGGCAGCTCATGTGTGTATTATAGCAGGCTGCTAATCGGGTAATTGGTCAGAAGGACCTTCCTGCTCGCAGAAGCTGACGGCGTGCTGAAATGTTACTCTGAAGACCTGAAAGAACCTGCCAGAAGTAGCTAGAGATGAAGTGATGTTCAAGCTCTTCAGAAAGAGAAATGATTAAAAAAAAAAAAAAAAATAGAATACACAGCGGACATAAAAAAAAACATACTACATGTTACATTAGATACATACATGTCAGCTTTAAATTGTTACAATGTCCTGTCACGAAACTCATTTAGATTCTAATTTCTTGGTGATTTTACCTTCCTTTAATAATATGATGTATATATTTGAGTCATTAACATACTCTACTTGAATATTTCATAGCTGATTTTAATACTAGGTTACCGTCTCCAAGGTAACGAGGCAGACATAAAAGCACATCGCCGGGCTTGTGTTCCCCAGATACCAAAGTGCTTGTAAGCAATTAAATCGTCTTTGAATCAACGTTGGAAGCGTATGTGGAAGCTAACTGTCGCCGGTCCGCCGCGGGGAGCCTGTGGGCGGCTGTAAAGACCATCGGGGCATAAAAGAGTTTTAACAGGGTTGTCATGAACTGCAGATATATCCCAGAGAATGAGAGAGAGGATGACACTAAAGCATCCCATCTCCGTGGCCTGTGTCTAGCAATTATAAACCGCTGAGATGTAAAAGTTGTAATTACTGTTTAGTAGCGCCTGTGGGTAATTTACCCAACCTACCAACAGGAGGTCCATATACGCAGGTTGTAATTTGGTAGATTATACAGGAAGTACCGCACAGGCCTTCATGGGGAAAGGGGGAAAGGGAAGGATGTGCGGTTGTTTTGATGACTGCCATGAGGTGAATTATTATCAACACAACAGAGATAATATGGGGATTGTCAGAGAAGTGACAGCACGTTTGGGTACATCTGCATGTGTGCCACCATGTGACATGGGTATGTGTTTCTACACTGCGGATTATTCACGTATATTCACCCAACCAAGGTAATAGTATCCGACACCATCACTTTCTATGATAATCAGGTGCATTGAACAACACAACTCTAATAATAAGCCAAACGCTGGTTGACTGGTGATCCTATTTCTTTTCTTTGACAGTAAGCAAAATAAGATGTAGGTTCAAATTTGGGTCAGCCATTCTACACGCGAGCAGACTTTAACGACCCGCATCAGCAAAACAGTCACATGTGTCCGTGCGTGAGAAAAATAAACAGCGGCAGATTTTTTCGCAGCCGCTGCATCAGTGCTCCGAAATCAGCCCAACGGGCGGCGTCAGCCACGGAGGCAGGCAGTCCATATCGTGCAGATCTGTTGTCGGGGGCGTGATGTCTCTGTGCCCCAGGCAGTAAAAGGTTTGGGTGCGGTAATTGACAAGCTGTCAACCAGCCAAGAGACACCCGAGTCCTTGGAAGCTCTCAAGGACTTCCCTCGGGGGGGACGACAACGATACCCTGACTGACACTCCCTGCATCCCTGCAACTTAAAGCAAAGGGGAAGTGGGAAAAGGAGCATCAACAGGAGCGGGAAGCTTGTATGTAGGCTCGTGCGTGGGTTGGTATGCTGAAGGGCACACCGGCAAGGACACCTGGACAGTCTCTGTTGATTTCGCAACACGACAGCGTTGATTTAGATTACATGGGTTCAGGCCTAAGCTTTGCTCCCTCAGCAGAGGTCTGGAGATCAGTTCGAGGTGTGGACGTCTGGATGGGAGAGGACGCTGACGCAACCGGGACGAAGCCCACGCTCTGCAAGAGCCGGATTTCTATGTTGCTTGCATTCGGGGAAGGAAGTGCATCCGTTACAGTCGATGACATGCGAAAGCCGTATCTTCGTGCTGTGTGTGTAAGGGAGGATCCAGGAATGCTGCACAAACAAAAGCGTAGGCATTTACACCACTCAGGTTATTGCAGCGTCAACTGCTGTTTCTCGGATCTACTTTGTAATCAGACTTTAAAATCTATCCTTGTGTAAAAAAAAAGAAAAAAAAATGTAAATGAAGAGACTCCCAAGAGGGCTTCCTGTCTACGTCGCCCCTTTTTAAGGAGACAGACTACCATTGATTTATTGTCCGTTTGCCATTGACGTAGGAATGCAAAGTCATATCCTGAGGCTCCTGAGGTCACGTCCGTTCTGCCCAAATGTGCTTCATACCCAGAAAGAGCTCATTATATAATAAAAAAAGAGAATGATTCTCAAACGATTCTCATTTGAGTGGAGGGACGAAGGGAGGGAGGGAGAGAGAGAGACACGCGGATATGCCACTGGAAGAGATCCAGACCTTGGAGAAGCAGGCAGACAAGAGCAGAGCAGATCATGCGGGAGAGGCTGGTCACCTGACCAGACCCACCAGCAAATGATACTTATCAGAGGAGATGCCTTAAGACGTCTCACTGATACGCGTGAGAAATAGCTGCTAAATGTTGTAGCGCCGCTTCAAGTTTGGCAAAAAAGAAACATTGTAGTTTGTGGGATAGAAGTTTTCTTCAATACAGCATGATGTTCTTTAAGTAAATGATGTCTTTTTAGAAAGAAACTAAAAATGAAATAGACGACAAGAGCAGGGAATGTTTTATGGAGCTGCCAAACTTTTACCCTTTCACGGTGAGTTTTCACTTCATGAAAGTCAACTGGAACGTTCAGGTCGGATTCGCCCTCTCGTGTCACTTCTGGTTTGAAAAAAAAAAAAAAACTAAACTCGATGCATGAATACAGTAATCCAAGGTTGAACACTCATCTATCCAAACTGAATCAATTTCATTATTATCCTCTTTTTGTGTCGCGGTTGATTTGATGAAGACTTGTGGGTGTGTTTGATGTGACACTTTGTGTGTTCACAAACTGTTTCTCTCCGGTGGATTTGGACGGTGTTGATTGCTAAATATAAATTTGCCGGTCTTCCCTGTGAGATGACAAAAGGGAAAAGCCTTGTTTCAATCTTCACGTGGCTCTCTAACAAAGCCGCCATGGGAAATCAAAACCATTTACCCCTGAATGGATTGTATTGACTCTTAGCATGGCTTCACACTTCTGATGATTCAATTTAGATTGAGCATCTGTGCTTGCATGTAAAAACATGCTATAATAACCCGCCAGCATTCAAATAGGTAATGAACTTGGATGATTGCTAGTCATGTAATCAAAAGACTGAAATATGCCTCGTCATGACAGGAGATGTGAGATAACCCTGCCTGCATCACTACCGAGCTACAGCATCATTATAACATCTCCACTTCTCACGATGGAGACTTTTTGTGATAACTGACCTCGTTTAGCAGTAATATGAAATAATAACAAAAAGGTGAGAAAATATAACACCTCAAACTGAGATGAAATGACTTGCTTATTATTACCGGACACGCAGGAGGTCAATGACAGTAACCCTGTCGGACAGAAATGTCTGCATGGTGTAGAACTTAATGCATCTCAAAGGGTCCAGAATAACAGAGAGCTTAAAGCCAGGCGATGCCAGGTATTTGACACATTCCTCACATTTTCTTGCTTTTTTCTGGAGCCGCACAGACATTGTAGCGGTTGTGGGCCGGGGAAATTCACATAGGAGCCATATAATCAATAACTATGGCAAAGCAAATTTTAAAAAGAAAAAGAAGAGAAAGAGGAAACAAGTTGGGCACAGACAGAAATTCAAACCGAGCACACTGCGTCCACAGAAGGTGGAAACATCTCAAAATGAACCACATCTCCAATGAATGGCTTCTTAAGGGAGTGAATCAATAGGTGAGAGTGTGTGTGTGCGTGTGTGTACACTGCACAAACCCTGAGCGCAGCAGATTAGAAACACTACACAGCTGAGCAGGTTGGAGCGGAGCTTTTCCACATGGGTGGAAGAGGAATCTATGGGAAAGTCATTTAAGTGGACTATTAGTTTAAACACCCACAGGAGCTTTTACCGATTTAAATGCACGGTATCGGCTCACCGGCGCTTCGTTTATCTTTATTGATTTAAAATCTCATTCTCACCGTGCCGAAGTGATTCCTTCATGGGAAAGTAAATGTGAGGCTGGAATGCTTCTTGGTTATAAAAAGAGAAAGAATAATTAGACATTAATTAAAAACGGCATGAAATGAAGGCAATTTAATGTGTTTTTCGCTCATGAAAGATATATATAAGCCTCTTTAGTATTTTACATAATCCTTTATCCATTTGATGCAATACATTAGATACAGTATATCTTTCATAACGCAATGGATATCAGCCGGAAACCATGACAACCAAGCCAAGACCAATACTCACTTAATAATACATCAATCTCGATACAGGTATCTGCATATTTATTTAGAATTGATCGGCAACACGTGGCCTTTAACTTACTTTAATGCCTTTGCTGACTGTAACTCAAAAAATGCAAAAGGTCTGGCTGCACTGCAGATGTTAAGTGATTGAAAACAATATCAATTCATCAAAAATGGGCAAGTGGCTGACAATAATCTGGAGTGCAATTACTTCAATTATACAGAAAGGAGAATATTCTATGTTGACTCAGCTCGCTATCTCTGCAACCCAACCATTTCATAAGTGAGGAAAGAGTAGGGGGGGATCAATTTGATGCCAAATCATAAGCTGCGTCTCATCAGGGTGAGACAATGAACCCCTGCTCGCTGTTATACATAATTGTACACACAGACACACACACACACACACACACGACGCACACACGACGGCGTGATGAGGCTTTGCAGATGAGTATGTCAGTGAAGGGTTTTGGGAAAAGACACTAATGAAGACAGTGATGGGTTGCGTTTACACAAGAGGTAACACATGCCTCTCATATATTTTGCATGATACTCGTACACTTGTAATCAAGTGTTTCTGGAGGCCCCACAACAAATTAAATGTATTATAATAAAAAGTGAGGTGACCTTTAAAATGAATGATACCGTGAAAGATTTTTTCTGCAGAGGAATTCGACTAGAGTCAGTGTCAGAAAATTCCCTTTTTCCATCTGTGGCAAATATGTGATGTGTTTAATGTTCAATAATAGTTTTGGTTTTGTTTCAGCACCAAATCGTAAATACACAATCACACGGTCACAATGTTGCTGCCTTTCTCTAATGAAATTTACTTTGATTTCTACATTCACAACATGACTAACTCTCAGCCAGCTCATTTTTGGTTAAATCAGCATAGCAGAACAGCTGTATTATTACATCTGCTGCTACAGTTCACTACATCTGATCCAAAGGACAGTTACAAGGAGGATTCCAGCTTCTCCTCCTGGACTCATCTCACAGAAACAAGCTTCTTTCTTAAAAACCGAATGCCTGTGAAGAAAAGGGGGGGGGTAAAAGGGGCAAAGCTTTTCAAGCGTAACACCAAGGTAACAGCTACATAATTCTCTCATGAATAGCGGGTGAATAAGGAAGGTTTTCAAATATTCCCCTCTTGATACGACCCTTTCAAAAACAAAATACACTGTGCAGCCCCCACAATGCAACAGTCACAGCCCAAATAATGTGAGCAACTCTGCATTTATTTGTGTCCTAGTTGGTGAAGACAACCCATGCTGGGTATCGGAGACACTTTAGGACTATTTAAATGTCCATGAAATAGATATGAAGAGGGGGGCGGGGGGGGGGCAGAGGGAGCTGGTGACTAACAAAATCACCTCCAGTGTCGCTTGTTCAACGCATGTGAGGCAAGAATCTCTCTCCATGGTGCTGAAACGAGCCTCACTGCTTACATCGTTTTTACATGCAGACTCAGTGTGTGTGTGTGTGTGTGGGGGGGGGGGGGTCGCTAATATGTATCCGGTCCAAGAACAGATGTGACACGTAAGCACTTTGCAAAATCCGTCACTTGCACGTGAATGTTGCCATGAATACACTGCAGGTGCATCGGCTTCCACACCTATAGGGGGGCTAGGGGGATTAGGGGAGGAGAAGGGGGGCGGGGGGGGGGAGGGGGTGTAATGCAGTGAGCCCTCTCTGATCTTCTGCATCTCATGTAAAAAGAAATCAGCCTGTGGAGTTGGACCTTCTGTCCGCCTCTCCACCTCGACTCCGGTTGCGCCTCACGTTGCTGCCGGTGATGTTGGGATGAAGTCATGCCGTCCCGTGGGCTGCCTGGATGGCACAGTGAGAATAACCCCCCCCCCCCCACACACACACACACACACACACCTCCCAAGCTCATCAGCACATCCTTACACTGACTGTCACTCAAGAGACCGCTGGATGCTCCTGTAGTTCCCCTCTTAACTTCAGTGACTAAAAGGGCACAGCAGCATCATTCAAAGTGTGTGTGTGGGGGGGGGGGGGGGGGGGGGGGGGGGGGCAGCACGGAGCCCGGCGGGACCTTTCAACCAGACTAAGGTGCAAGAAAAATAAAAAGAGAGGAGAAGGTCCTAACGTGTCCACGATGAGGTGTAGCCCGTCCTCGGTTAGCCCCCCCCCCCCCCCCCCCCCCTCCCGCCGGGTGTGACGGCTCACACTGCAGATGTTGGGGCTCACACTGCAGATGTTGGGGCTCACCCGCCGAAACAGTGCTTCGGAAATCGCAAGCGCACTGAACTTTGCACTCACCTCGAACAAAGGTCCGATTCTATTCTTCTCCAGATACGACTGAATCCTTGACTGCTGCGGGGACGCCATGGAGAAACTGTTGTGCCGAGCTGAGCGGCTCCTCAGCGGGATGAGATCATGGGGTGAGCCCCCCGCCCCCCCCCCGGTCATGCGTCCGTCACGGCGACCAAAACAACAACAACAAAAAGAACAAACCCCCCCCCCCCTTCCAAAAAAAGAAGCTGTGCAGCGGCGACGTGTTTCAAGTTTCAGACGGCTCGCGTGGCGCCCTGAGCGCGGCTCGTTGCGGAGGCTCAGCCCGGGACCGTCGGCGGATCGTCGCGCTCGCTGACTCTCCGGCGGCCAATGGCGGCACCGCAGCCCCGTGACACGTTACACACCTTCCGCCCACACCGGCTGCCGGCCGCGCGACCGACGCTCGCCGGAGCCACTCCCCCGTTTATTCGCGGCGGGGCTCCAAAGCCTGAGGTGCCCCCCCCCCCCCCCCCGTCCCCCCCACCACGCCGTGTCAGTCGCGAGAACAACGAGGCGCAACCCGCTCCGCCTGCGCACGTGCTGCTCGCTGACTGAAGTTCAACAAGTCAAACCAAACATGTATGTTGTTAATTGTTCAGCCAATGGAGCTGCAAAATGACAACAGGTCACTTATTTCGTTTTACCAGCGTTTGGTGTGTTTTGGAGACATTTGGAAGCAAAAATGAATCCTTGTAAACCCTCATGGAGCTTATCGATGCAGTTTATTACCACTTATTTGTTTGCATAGTAGAGACGTTGATTCATCCAGTAATAAGTAACAGAGAGGAACTTTAATCCTGAGTACTGTCAGTATAAAATAACAGAACGTATTTCTACTTCCACAAAGCTACTGTGTGTTAATACTAATACACCGATGAAAGTCTTCGTATGAACGTAGTGTGAATCAATGGCAAGAATCGTTTAGCACATTCACACACAACAAATGTACATTTACAAGCAAATAAACATGTTCGGGAAGGTAACATAATACACATTCATATGGTTACCCAATACTGAGATAATCAATAAAGCATGCAAGTCAGATGGGCAGAGAAGGAGGCTATTATTTGCACATTTTACCACAAAACAAAGCCGAATATCCTTTAAAACATTATTATCTTGCTGACTTTATATGCAAAGTAAATATGGTCATGAAATGAAAATGTCCCAAGGCAAACATTATTGTTAGCACATTATCAGAAGACAGAGACCTGATGGGACCATAGCATTTCATTTGACTAATTCCTTGTCTTGTCAGATGCATTATATGAAAAAAACAAAAAAAAGATGTATAAAGTACAACATTGGAAAATATAAAGTATTAAAAATACTATTTACGGCTTTTAAAATTCTATTTACATTTTAGGCAGCTACTCTGAGACGTATCAAAATTGACCCAATAACTGTCTTGTACAAGGTTGATCCTTCACGGGGGAACGCAAGGCTCCCCAAGACTTCGGCATCGCCTGGATGCAATGCATTATGGGTCACCATCTGGGGGGGGGGCTGGCACAGCTTGTACAACCTGATCGGAAGACATGCATCAAACTGGTAGTTAATCACATTTTAGTGACACAATGCAGCAATCCGTCATGTAATGCCACTACCCGAGGGAACGGGTCTCCGTTTGGTGCAAAGGAAAGTCGAACACCATTTTGAGCTGCAGCCCCATGAAGACAAATATCAGCGTGGAAGAATTATTATTATTTTATTAATTATTATCCTTAGTAGCACACGTTCAGCTTCAAACAACATTAACCTCACATCAAAAACACCTTCACGGGTGTTGTTGCTACAATTTAACTGTCTGAATATAGCTTGATGTATTTATAGGTTTTCAAAACAAATGAGTTGGTTTTTTAAATATCACGTGAATTATGCATTAGTTGGTTGTTTTTATTAGGGAAAGAACACAAAGGACCCACTGCCTGGTTTACTTCAATTTTTGTAACAATACCATTATATAGTGCATTAAAAAATCATAAAACCATCGCATTTCACAGTTATGTTTTACACGATCTGTTGTAATGCATAAATGAACAGGAAACCTAACTTGAACAACTTTCCTTTTTTTATCCAAGATTGATCAATGTTCTTTTTTCCCCATCGCAATAAAAATGTTCACCATAATCAGCTGTATTTCTTGCATCAACAGGGATATCTTCTGTAGTTTGAATAATCAATCCAACCACTCGCATCTATTATCATGGATGAGAAATGGCTACGGGAAAAACTCACACCAAATTGTAACTTGTTCCTTTCAGCTGCAGAACGGTGAACTACCAGCCGACATTTTATGATACACAAAACACACTTATATATTCTGCAGCAGTCACACTGCAACAATTCTGACACAATTCTACTGAGAAGGCAGCAGTTTTGCTCTCCAGCCACATTTTCTCTACACTAATCATCCCGCTACTTAATTGTATTTGTCAATTTCACTAAAAGGTTCAAAAGGGCTGCCTGTCACACACAGAGGCCTATATGTCACAGCCAAGAGGCTGAGGCAAGATGCTCTCATCTTGGGGCTACTGAGTGCAGGGAGCTCCCTTCTAATAAAAAAAAACATTTGGCCCCTGTCCTGCAAGAAAAGGCACATACACACCCTGCAGTGCTGTACTAATGCACGCGCCTCTGAAAAGACAGATGGGCAATATAGGAGAACAACTTTTAAACCGTTGTAGTTCTTAATGTTTTGGAGGCGAAAAAAAATCTATACACGACGGCTGACCATTTGTAACAGTATGCCGTAACTTTTAAGAGCCCTTTTAAATCTTTAAGGTCACTAAAACTCCTTTCTTTATTTAGTGTTCTCATTTTTTTAATGCTGAAAAGGTAGCAGCAACTTAATACTGTCTGAGGCATCAGAGCTCAATTTCTCTGCAAGTTGAGTTTAATGGCCGTGTGAAACCATGAGGCTGGCGATCATCCCAAAAGTGGGCTTTAAAAATGTCCAGCCGTAACGATATGAGATTTGTTGTTAGTCAAGAATAAACTGCACATTTTGCTAAAATCCTTTTATCCTCCGTGTTTGAAAGTTTACGATCCTGAGTACGTGAACCAGCGTTTTTTTTTCTCTAACTGTATACCCAAGGACTGCGGTGGTTTCATTGATTCACACATTCATTGACAATGTATTCTACTGACGGCTTTATACCGGCCATTGATCACCTGACTCCCCGCTACCCTTCACCCGGGCAGCTGTTTTACCTTGGGACAGATGCCGGTGTCCGATCCCTCACTCCCAGATTCTTGGCGGAATTCTGAACTCTCGCCCCCTGAAAGACAAAACGCGCGTGTGAGTCGATGCCATCGTGGATCCGGTTGAAGATGAACAACATAGAGAGAGGACACAGGAAGAGCTCGCTTGAAAAAAATCGGCCGATGAGCTACGAGTCGGCGCCATCACATCTCTTATGATTTAACGACGACGACTTGGGCGCCTGGTAGTCACCAGTCTGGTAGTTTACAGTCTATCTGTAAAATAGATTTCAGATTATGCATTTTAAGGCCCTCATTTTTGAAGTTGGCCGTTTATCTATAGTATCTCTACTCGTTCACCTCTGTTAGCATAAGTCCAAACACAGCAAAGTCTTTTTCGGGGAACAGAAGTGGGTAGTAAGGGATTTGGAAGATGAATGGTTCGTGCGTGAGTTAGATTACACCTAGTCAGGGGTATGTCTGCTCTTTGCAGATGTTCCTGTGATCTGCCGGCTGCATTGTGTGCAGAGTCGGCAGATACTAAAACCTAAAAGCAAAAACCTCCAGCCTCTCCATTTAAAAAGACACAAACACCGGCACTCACAGAATGCAACCCCTCAGGGGGACCTGTGACGCACGCACAAAAGCCACAATACACAATCAAATCATTATCCTGAAAGATGGCATCAGCGTGCACGCTTTGAGCGGAGGCGGATCAACTGGTCCAAAGTGCATTAGCTGACCTCTCGGTTACTACTTTTCCATCTTACTGTGTGGCCAGAGTAACGTCCGGGTAGTGGGATAGCATCTGCAATTACTCGATGCCTATCACAGCCCCCGCCGAGATGCCCCCTGACGTCCCCAAAGGACACGGGGCCCACAATAGATCTGATGTGTTAGAGACAAAAGCTTTTTTTTAAAAAAGGTTATTTCAACTTGCTTTAAATAGTCAAATGAACGGCAAGTTGCTCGTGCATTCAAAATGCTGCATGTATTTTGTGCAATTTTCTTCATTTTCCACATAACCTAATAGCTTAAACATGCTTATGTATAACATGGTCATTATTGTATAATTTATGTCTCTGCACCTAAAACTTAAACTAAATATTCAGCTTCAGAGTCTTTAATGGTTGAAACATCAATGAGAACATTAAATAAATATCGCCCAGGTGAAAATATTCATCCTGGATTTTTAAGTCGATACATGACATTTCCATTCCATCTTCTGAAAAGGGAAGACAAAAGGTCCAGAAGGATAACGTCATGAGTTATCTTCATAAGTTAGTTCAGTGTCAACTCTTCCCAGACGGACCGTTGTGAAAACTAAGCGTAAGCCGAGCTGCGATTGGACCCGTTTGGGCCGTCTCACTCGAGCGACCTCACGCTGCATTATGTCGTCTGCACTAGATGGGTGGTACCTGCCTGGACCGGATGCTGAGCAATAACCTATTTGTCCGGGAGGATGACTATTCAGTAAGGAAGACGAGGCGTCATCCAAACCTTGTGTGATACATTCATATTCATCACAGTCATCAGCTGACGTCTGAGTGCAAGGACACACACACACACACACACACACACAGACAGAGACAGACACAAAAAGCCGGGAAATACAGTGCAGGTTTCTGTTTCCTGTATGTGGACTGAACCATCTGTTTTTAGTGGTGTTCATGTTAATGAGGATGCAATAAAGAAAAGATAAAATGTCTAATGACAATCGTACGTATAATAGTGACACAATTTTTTTTTTTAAAGCATCTGAGGGAGGCAACTAAATTGAAAAAAATGTAACATTTTCCCCTACCTGGACCTATTAATAGTCTATTACCATATATTTAAAACCACCACAGGATGGATTTTTGTTTTTCCTTCGCCACGTACATTTAGCGCTGAAGGTCACACAACGCCGAGCTTCGCGTCCTCCTGGCTGGCGGCCCAGTTC